CGGCTGCCGGTTTTTTGGCAGTCCGGCCGTTCTTTTTTTTTTTGCCTGGGGCGGCAAAAAAGCTAGAGCCGGCCCTGATCTTAATACTGCCAAATGCAAAGGTAACAAGCAGTGCAGGCCAGATCTCCAGAATGGGGAACTGTATTCTGAAAAGCAGTGACGCTAAAAAATATTTAGGGGGTCACAGTGAACAAGCAACTGAACATGAGCTCCCAGCACGATGCTGTGGCAAAAAGGACTAATGTGATTCAGTAATGAACAGGATTAGGGGTAGTGAGACTGATAATGGAACATTGTGTCACATTCCAGTGTCTACATTTTAAAAAATGATGTTGAAAAATTGGAGAAAAGAGCCACCAAGGTGATTTGAGGGCTGGAGAAAATGCCTTACAGTGAGAGGCTTAAAGAGTTTGATCTGGTTAGCTTATAAAAAGAAGACTGAGGGCTTGTCTACATTACCCGCAGGATTGACAGGCAGCGATCGATCCAGTGGGGGTCAATTTATCATGTCTAGTCTAGACACGATAAATCAACTGCTGAGCGCTCTCCCGTCGACTCCGGTACTCCACCGGAGTGAGAGGCACAGGAGGAGTTGATGGGGAAGTGTCAGCTGCCGATTCACTGCAGTGAAGACACCGCGGTGAGTAGAACTAAGTATATCGACTACAGCTATGTTATTAATGTAGCTGAAGATGCATAACTTAAATCGATCCCCCTCCGCCCCCAGTGTAGACCAGGCCTGAGAGTTGATTTGATTACAGTGTATAAATACCTAACCTGGGAGAAAATAGCAGATACTAAAGAGCTCTTTAATCTAGCAGAGAAACAAAACATAATAAAAACCCAATGGCTGGAAGCTGAAGTTGGACTAACTAAAATAGAAATTAGGCACAATGTTTTTAAACACTGAAGGTGATTAACCACTGGAATAAACTACCCAATGGCAGTGGTGGATTCTCCAACTCTTATGTTCAGATAACTTTCTGGAATATATGTTTTAGCCAAACACAAATTATACTGGGTGAAATGTGATATGCCAGACTAGATGATTGAAAGGTCCCTTCTGGCATGAAACACACATTCACATGTGAGTCACATGAACATGTGGGACTAGATGGTGATTTGGAATCTACATCCATGCAGAGGAATAAGAAGGAGTAAGCACCACTCTGGCAGCCCAACATGAGCTACCTGCATGGTAGCTCCAGGCACTCAGGGGGAAGCAGATGCTGCTAGAAATGTACTTAAACAAAACAAAACCGGTCATTCTGCACAAAAATGAAAGCTGAGAAACTTGTCATGCAGGTCACATAAAGCCATCCAATGAGCCAGACCCACCCCACAGACAGAGTATCTGCCACCTCCATATTGGGCTGTTGTTTCTCTGGCAAGGAGCAGTGGATGTCCTCAGCTTTGGATGCCTGCTTCCCAGTGGAGGAGAAATCAGTGTCACACAGTCTGGGTACATTCTCCCTGTCTCTTGTTTTATTTACACAGATTCACCAGGCCTAGAACAGAGGGTGGTCACAAACAGCACGCAGGGCAATCCCAGGCTTTGGGAATCTCAGCCCAACCCCAACGCTCAGTTCCCAGGGAGCAACTATGCCTCCAGAATTAACTCTAATCAGAGATCAAGTAGAGAGCAAACTTTCCTGCTGCTCCCACAGCTCCCACTAACCAGAACCTTGCATAAGCACAATATATAGATTGTCTTCCCAAGACTAAAAACTTGCTCAGATGCTAAGAAAAAGAACTTGGTATGTGTAACACTACCACCTGATGATGTCTGCCATAAAAATTCAATATAATCCCAGATGAAGAGTGTCATCTACTATATATCTAGCATCACTTCATAAGGGGCCGCAGTGTTCTTTGGGGATCTTCCATCCAAGTTCTGACCAAGCATCCCTGCTTATTAAATCTGATGAACTCATAGCCCGAAGTGGGAGGGCTGAGGGCTAAACTCAAAATATCTGACAACAAGCATAGATGTGATTTTCAAGATTACTTATTTTATGGTCTGTGTTCTGCAGAAGGTTAGATTAGAGGTTCAGCATGATCCCATCTTGCCTTAAAATCTGTAAATTTATTAACTCATGAAATTTATCTCCCAGGTACGTGGTTGTGTTGTTTTTTAAAGTTTACAAGTAGATACAACACTAACAGAGTTCTGTCTTTATTAAACAAGTGTTTGAGAACCACAGGTCAGAAAAGTGAATCAAACTGTACAAATAACAAATACATCTCACATTCTATCAGAGCTAATCAATTTCAACAGCTGTGCATTGGTGAAAACTTGACATTTCCTTGTGAATCAGACTTCTGATTATTTTCTGAGACAGTATCCTATCCCGCATAACCCGGAGTTTATGGCTCAGATTCTGGCCTCTATCTGTACTGAGTTCAACACAGTCTGGGAGGGGGCAAAGTTGGATTAGCCCCTTCTCCTCAGATTGTGAGGCTAATAAGTCTCCAGGCTGGTTCTCGGTGACTGTGCGACAGGACTGTTATTTACGGTACATTATATACGATGTAAAGTATTTTGCGGTTGTCATGCAGGAAAATGGAGAGTTCTTGTAGAAGAAATTAGCGAGGGGAAACAGCAAATGAAAAGTTTCCTTCCACAGCAACAATCATTTTATTTAGATTTGTAATATAGACGCAAACACATATGAGATGCAGGCATTTCGTTGATCTGGTAGAAGTAAGCGCAGAGCATCTCTGGCAATATTATTCCACGCAGTTGCATTATACTAAATGCGAGTTATACATACTGGGAATTTATATTAAATAAAGATGGGCCAACCCAACAAGGACCTCGAGGCAGCAAAGCAACTAAGTACCTGCTTAATTTAAGCAGGTGAGTAGCCAGTCTCACTAAAGCCAGTGGGATGACTGACCTGCTTCAAATTAAGCATGTGCTAAAGAGACTTGTTGGATCATGGCCTAATTTGGGAAAGTTCTTTTTTGAATTTTTAAAAAATGATAACCCCAAGGTGAAGTGATATGATGAGTTATTTGAACTAGAGGAGAGAATTAGTGTCTTCTCCTTTTCTTTGAAAAGAAAGTGGACTGACGTAGGCAGGTGACCTTCTGGAAGTGGAAATCTAGAAGAGAAAACAAGAATATACTATAAGACCTACCCTCTTCTGTTTGCAACATTCTCTTTTGCTTAAGAATTCTGGCTACTTACCATAATATCAGTGACACACTAAAGGTGTAGGACATCACTTTTTCACTGATAGGTTTTGACAAACTAGAATGAGGAAACATTACCCAAAGATCTATGCATTTTGTACTTTTATATGAATTTTCTTTTAAATCAGAAGACTGTATTCCACTTCTGTTTTCCAAGAAGTGTTCAGTAACCATCTAATAATACTAATCCTTATAAATATCCACCAAATGAGAACAAAGGTCTAAATTCTCCTACCTGGCTTCAGCTGTATGGACTTTCTCAATGGAGGAATCAAAGTTTTGTCATCTTCTCCCCTCTTCTCCCTGGAGAAGTTTTCGGGTTGAAGAGTCAGACACAAGATTTTAGAGGTATAGAAATACTCTTCCCAAGGCTGCAGTGTTCTGAAGTGTCCTTGCATCAGAGAACATCAGAAATAAACAGACAGATCAGACAGATTCTGGGAAGAGATTTGACCTCCAAATTCTGTTGTCTGTTGGGGGTGGGGATTGTCCTGTAGTACTATGTAACTTGGGCAACAGAAGTGACACCAAAGGCTAGATCCTCAGCTGGTGTAAATCAGTGTAGCTCCATTGATTTATACCAGCTGAAGTCCTGGATTTTGGCATTGCTTTCTTTTCCCAAGTTACCTTTGTTCTCTGAGATTCCAAGACACTTACACATCAAAACAGCAGCTCTCAAACTGTACCTCTCACTTAATTATATGTCGATGCAGGCTAGTAACATTAGTTGCAACAATATATAATCATTCATTTCTTCACATGCACGTCTAGCCAACAGGGACACAGCAGCTCCTAAAGACTTTGGTTTAGCCTATATGCCTATGCTACCAAATAATTAAATAGTTGGTTACTAGTCTAAAATACCATACTGTACAAAGCATAACTCACAAAATAAGAATTCTCAGTATTATTCACATGAATTCTTTTGCCTTGGGTTGTTCCAGAAGAAATTGGTGCTAAGGGTCTGGAGAGGACCAAGGGGAGCTAGAAGCCAATGTTGAGGCATAGGATATACATGAATTTCCAAGTTCTGCTGATTCAGGTGGCTGAATTCCCTGATGGGGTGGTAGAACAAGGAATAGAAACCAGGGGTTCCTGGTTCGAAATAGGCAGCTTGATCTAACCACTGGTTACACGTAATGGATGTGAATGAACTATCCATTCACCCACCCACATTCTTAGTATTAGCACTCATCACCATACTAAATAATCTCCCAACAACGACAACATCTCTCTCTTCCTTCTCTGCCATTAGGAGGCTGGTTTAGGAGTGGGGGGTCTTAACATAAATGAATACAAAAATCTGTGAGTGAGGGTATTGGTCTCGGAAAGTTTGAGCAAGGGGGTGGGTTTGGCATTTAGATTTCAACGCGGTGAGGCAGGTGGTTATTCTTATTCTATCTGGCAGTGAGTTCCACAGTGTTGGTGCGTCTCATTCATGGTTATGAGCCTACCCCATTGGTTAACTGTTTCATTGCTGTGGAATGTAACTGGTGGAAGATCCTGGGTCACAGAGACAGAGTGTCTCTCTCAGGTAGCTAAGTCTAATTACATGTGGTGCTTCGATAACCAGACAGAGATGTTGAACTGGACCCTGTGTTCACTGGGGGCCACCATAAAGAGCAGCCTATCAGGATAATGTGCACTTGCTGTGCACTTGAGTAGATGTTTTTGATGTGTTCCTAGCGATTGTTGTTGCCAAGTAGATGGGCCAAGTCTGAAGAAGCTGGAAGTTCCTCAGGTCATGGGAAAGCTTCCTGGTTTTTAGCAAGTTTGTGAAGATTATACGGCTGCTGCTGACAACTGGGTAACTTCAAGAGCATCACCACCATCTGACAGGCAGATGCACTTATTTCATGTATAGTCCAGCATCCCTGTACCTGTGGAGAAATACTTATCAGACCCCATCTTCAGTCATGTCTGCACCTGGGTCTGTCACATCAGGTCATGTCTGGGTGTGTCACCAAGCTCTTTTTGCTGTGTACCCTACATCTGTTTAAAATACAGAATAATTCTTCTCAACAACAAGAAGAAACTAAACACAATGATTATCTTGGACCCTTCCAGCTGCCATAATTTTTCCTCTCCTGTCCCAAGCAGGCCAAATAGGCTCCTAGAACGTGGCTCCTGTTTAGGTATTGACACTAGCTAAGATTTTCAGATGCGACTAGTGATGTGGGAGGTCTCACATTTGGGGTGCTCAGCATGAGAATGGTGCCCGAGTGCAGAGGGTGGGTACTGAGCCTCCTTTAAATTGCTTCACATTGGGCACCCAAAATCATGAGTCACTTCTCAAAACTTTAGCCACTATTCATATTTTAAATAATGTTATTTCCCCCTAATTGCTTATGGAAAGGGTAGAATTCCAACTGGGAGCGAGGAACCGATTCTGAAGTGTCATTTTCCCTTCACACTGGATTGACCGTGGTGTTCAAAGGCCAA